TTTGCCGATACTTAGAATTAACGGAAAGAAAAAAGCTGGAAACAATAATATTTGATGGGTTATTGTAATAAATTTCAGTAGAATATACATATAAAAAAAGGTAATTTTTTTTCATTTTTTGAAAAAAAATACTAAATTTCCATAATCTTTTGCAAAGAATTTACAAACAAAAAGAAGGAAACTTGTTGAAAGTTATATTTTGAGGTTGTTTTGTGATGTCTTTAACTGGTCCCTATGACACAAATGCTGTTTGCTTCAAACAGTTAGTGCTGTTTTAAGCCAAAAAATCTGTGAACAGAAATGGGCAAAACTGATGACCACCGTTTTATCCAATCCAAACAGTTTGTTGGAATTTTTTCGCAACGATTTTGGTCCATATTGTTCCTTCTCCAAAATTTGTCTCCAATTTCTGTCTTTTCCTTCTTCTTCCGCTCCTTCTTATCATTCCTTTTCATTTCGCCGTCGTCGTTGTTATCGCTGATTACGTTCCAGTACTTTGTCACCGGTTTTTACAGCAACAGTAGGAGCAGAACTAGCAGAGCAAAAAAAAAGAATAACTAAGTTTAAAAAAAAAGAGAAATTATTCAAAAAAAAAAAACAATATTAGTTTTTTTTCTCTTTCTTTCGTATTTTTTTTCTATTTTTATCCACTTTCTTTTTTTCTTCTTCATTCACCATCTTTTTTTATCTATCTTTTTTTTCTTTTCAAGTTTGGCACTTTATAGACTGATGCAACGGCAAAAGCCTCAACTTTGAACAATATCGGTGTAGTTTTCAAAGGTAAACAAATATTATTGTCCAGCAGTTTTTACATCTCTGTCACTCAATTGTCTGTCTCTGTGTGTCATTGAATGAGTGAGTGAATAAATAGGTGAAGGTGTGTGTGTGTGTGTGTGTGTGTGTGTGTGTGTGTGTGTTTTTGTGTGTGTCTCTGTGTGTGTCTCTGTGTGTGTCTGTGGAGCGCTTATCATCACCGTTGGTATCTCAGTTATCATTTCGTTATTTTTTTTGTTCTTTTGATGGCACGTAAAAAATTCCACTGAATTTGATTGGTAAACGTTTGAAAAATTCATTAAAAACTCTATTGCTTTTCTTTTTCTTTTCTTTTTCTCTTTTTTTTTTCCCGATTTCTTCCGACAAAACGAAAATGGACGATGGCAATCAAGAAATGTGACAAGAAAATGTTTAGGCTTTTTTATTGAATTGTTTGCTGTTGTTGAATATATTATGTTTAGCGGAGAACAGTTTAAAAAAAAAATTTTTTTTTTCCACGAGACAACAGAAATTTGCTTTACGATTTGATGATAAAAGAAAAAGAAGAAGGAAAAAAAGAGACTTGATGAAAGGAAAAAAGCAATAGATTTTTTGTTTTAACAAATAATTTCTTTTTTCTTTTCTCTTTGTCTTTGTTTTTTTCTACAATAATTATGGTATAGAAAAACAGAAACAGAGCTTTTTTTGAAGCAACGGATTTGATAAGCATATTTTGCTGGAACGATTAGAGGGCTGCAATGATTTGTCGGGTTTCTGATAGCTGGAAGAAAAAAATGATCCATCAGTTTTGTCAGATGATAAAGACTGACATATTGGAAACCGAGGGCCAACACCGGAATGACGGTACAATGTTCTTTCTGCCCTCCTCCTGACCTCCTCTCCCCGACTACTATACCAGCATCGAAGTTTCCGTTAATGTAAACTCATTAAAAACTTCATGCTAAATCAAGATGAAAAAACGGTGATGAAAAGGAAATTTACACGAACTAAAAAAAACACTCTTGAAATTTTTTCATTTTTTATTTGTTTATTTTGTTTCATTTTTTTTGCCTCTCTACGAAACCTTAAGTTGTAAGGCGGAGAAAAAAGAAGGAAGTAAAGCAGTGAAGTTTTTTCATCTAAAAAAAAGAGCTTTTAAACATTTAAAGAAAAGGAAGAAAATGAAGGAAACAGAAGGGGAAAAAACTGAGTTATTTAACTAAAAAATTGGTCGAAAACAAAGCAAAAAAAACTGTTTAAATGCTACAGTTTAGGAGGTTCAGCAACTAATTGGCTATTAGTATTAGCGTCAATTAGAAATCCTAAAATTATGATATATTCAGTTTCATGGATCAGAACTAAATTTCTACTAAATTTTACTTTTATCTCTTTTAGACATCTCAGGTAACAGAGTTTTTTTTGTTGTCGATACAAGAAATTACTTTAAGCATATTGTTGGTTTATCTTTGATTTTGTAAAACATTTTTTTTGAACATTTACAATTTTCTGTTTCAATATTTATCATAGTTTTTATGTTACTTCTTTGAAATAATCAGTAAAAGAAAGGCTGAAAACTTTTAGCTGTCAAACAGTGGAGGAACTAGACTAAAAAAATTACTAATTTCTTCTTGGTTTAAAGTCTAACAAAACAAACTTGGAGTATCTAAATATTTGACCTGTTTAGACAACAGAGTTATATTCAAACTTTACAGTAGACTCTAAGTTAATTTTTTTCTATATATCGCTGCTTTTTTTTGATCAGCAGAACGAAAAGACAGGAGCTAAAGTAATCAGAAGGAAAAAAAAAGAAGGTAATAGCAACTGTATTCAGTGGTACTGTAACAAAGTTTAAATGGAAAAAGTTGGAAACGGTGGTTAATGAACTTTTCAAATTTTTTTGATAACTGATTTTTAAGGTTCACTGAAAATGAAGAAGAAGAAGGAGATGAAAAAAAGAAGCGCTGAAAGTAAATTATGGTCGCTTTTTAAAAATTTTCGCTATTTTTAACCTGTTCAAAAAAAAAAAAAAAAAAAAAAAAAAAAAAA